CTACGTCCATCTCCACATCCGATAGAGTAAATAAGATTTATCTTATTTAAGATGAATTACTTAGTATATTGAACATAGCTAAATAGCTTGCTCATACAACTTCAATCATAATTTAAATTTTCAAATAAATAAACATTATTTATTGACATGAAGTTCCTTTTACAATTATCATAGCTAATATACCATAATTTTATGATTAAAACCTAAAATATTTTAGTATTATCTAGGGAAGTCACCTCAAATTTTCTTCCATTTACCATCCTCAGACTGATAGAAATGTGCAAGCTACTTACAAGCTCATACTCAACCTCCTCAAAAAGAAGTTTGAAGGAGCCAAGAAAAAATGGGTAGAATTACTTACATCAATATTATAGGAACTTAGAAGAACTCCATCAATAGCAATAGGTCTCACTACTTTCACATGCTCGTTTGGCACTGAGGTTGTACCACATTTAAACCTAAAGTTGGCAAGTCAAAGGGTGCTAGCCATACTCACAACCCAAGCACTAAATCTAGTAGATGGGGAACATTAAACTAAAAAAGTCTACAGGTTGCCTCTGATTTATTAGAAGAACAAAGAGTGCAACGACTCTCTAATAAGATGAAAAAAAGTGAATAACCACTAGATAGTACAATTTACATGTTAAAAAGAAGTCTTACCATCCTGGATACCTATTTCTAAAGAAAGTCAATACAACCACTTGCCATGCTACACTTTGTAAAGTAGTGAGTATTTGGGATGGTACCTACATCATTAAAAGATAAGCTAGTCCAGGAGTCTATCAACTACAAATCCATAATGAAATAGAAATACCCATGACCAGGAGTGATAATGAACTCAAAGTCATTTTAGTCAAAAAGGAAGCACTTATCTTCACCTACTTTATCTTTTTATCTTGCCTCTCATCAAGAATTTATTTTCTTTACCCATCATGCGAAAACAATTTAATGAAATTACCACTGAAAAAACTTGGAGAACATGGGACATGGAGATCGATAACGTAGATGATGCAATCAAAACTATTTAGGAAGCCTTCTTAAGAAAAAACCTATCAAACCATTGTCCCTCAACTATATAATAATGAATTTTGATCACCAAATTATTGTAGGACCTTCAAGTCACCCTTAATGACCTGCCAGATGAGTCAACTGAGAAGAATAATATGACTTAACTAATATGGTGAGGCATTTCAACCTGTAAAACTATTTTAATATAACTACGATCTCACTTCAGACCTACTCTAGCTGAATCTGATCATGTTAAAAGAACAAAAGAAAAGTAAATGTAAGATGGAAGTGGTGTATATCCATCGCATTGCAGCACCCCCACCATCTTTTTCCTTTCTTTTTCAAAAAACTTACAGTACTATTCACTAGCTATATAAAAAATGCATTCACACCTAAAGGTTAATATTTGAAAAGAAATCACATTTCCTTTTTCTTCTTCTTTCCTCTATACATCATAATAAGAGACCTCATAAAGATGACAAGAGCTTGCAGTCACACCAACCATAAAAATGTAAGCTTTCCATTGAAAGGAAGACTAGAGAAATATCACCATCTCCATATATGCCATAAAATACTTCAAAGAACCCATTCATTCAATCTATAGATGGAAGATAATTAAGTGTCATGTCAAAATCCATTAATGTTAATAATTCTTCATTAAATAAAAAGGACATCAAAAAGATGCATCAACATAAATGCATCACCCACAACTCAAGGTAACCCATTTCACTCCTCAAAATATTTATTATTCCATATGAATAAGATAAAATCACCCTGCCAAGGCAAGGGTCTCTATAAGATGACAATAACTTAATTATTCAGCCACTGATGGCAGACTGCCCCCCCCCCCACCATGTGATTAGCTCTAAAATGAGGACCATGTGATTCCCTAATAGATAGTAAGTCTTACGTGCCCTGGAACTATTGGAAACAACATGAACCTTATCATCATCAACAATAAAATACTCAGAGGGTGCCTCTAGGGAGTGGACGTAGGTCATGGTTTGACCGAACCACTATAAATCGGTGTATTTTTTCCTTTACTATTTCCGCACTTTATTTTCATATTTATTTTTATTGCGATTAACTGCGTGGGTGAAACTGATTATCTATCTTTTTATTATAAATGAAATAAGCTTCCACATATAGTTATAAAAAGATATTTCTTTTCATTAAAGAAGTTTTTGAACATCCAATTCACCCCCCTCTTAGCGCATCTAGTAATTTCAATAACCACCTAAAATTCTAGACATTTTTACAGGCTCTTTTCCTTTGTTTAGGATAGTAGCAATCACCTCCTCATCTCTAACTTATAGCTCAACAGGTACTACCAACTCACTAGAAGACTCTAAAATCTCCTTTCCCCTCAAATAAAGAGGAAGATAGCTCTATTCTATAGGTTCCCATTATTTATTGGTAGATAATGCCTAGATCTTGGACCAACATCAGCATCTTTCGACTTATTTTAGAAAACCTCTGTATAAATTTGAACACTAAAAAAAAAAACCCTTCTCTTTTGTCCTAACGGTAGCAATCATTATTGTAGAAAAAGGTTCGATGTCTCTAAGGAAAGTATAAACCTTGACTGCTTCTACAAAATCATTAAAACAAAATTAGAATAAGGTAAGGACTTCATCTTACCAAAATAAGAAAGTTGCTTACTATAAAAAGTATAAAAATATTTTTATAAATAATATCATCAGGAATAATCAGGATTCATTCTTCACTTGAGCTAGTGTTGCCTCCTTATCATGAGATAATTTCAAAAGAAATAGCTTCTTCTTTCTTAACATTATTAGAGTAGTTTGCACCCTTTATGAGTGTAAATAATGTAATATTTTATTTGTTAAAATTTCAATAAGATTGTGTTGTTTTAGTTGTGTTGTATAGAAAAAATATAAAAAAGGCATGAAATTCCAAGTATCATATATTGCTGCGACATCAAACACTATACAGTTGTGGCACCATTATTGACATCGCTAGAGTGAAAAATATGGATATGGAAGCACCCAGTCTCTATTTAACAACTCTATGGAATTAAAGGAGTCAGCACTACAAGGCCTAATATTTATCTTTACAGCACTACAATGCCAATTTCTAGTATATCCAAGTAGAGGGGAGTACCACATAGATGCTGCAGTGCTCTACAATTAGCATTGTAGTAGTGATATAGTTGTAACCTACCACTGTAAGTTAAGAAACGTGCTGATTCATTAAATTATGGGTCCATTTTATCAAGCAATACAAAGGTGGAAATTCTTCAGTGCTTCCGCATTAATTCATTTTATGGGTTTTGCAGAGCAATTGTTTGAAGTGTAGTGATGCCAAAGTCTATTTTTTATGTTTTTCTATAAATAATTTGTTTGTAATGTTGGGAAGGGACTTCAATTACTTAGTTAAATTTAGTCTTCATATTGCTTCTCTACAATTTTGTTTGGAGTGAGAACTAACAAAATTGATGTAGCACTAGATTCACTTCATTAATGTTTGATTAATGTTTGAAGAAGTAATTATGTAAGTTCCAGGAGAGTGTAGATGAGATCATTGAACTCATTTTGTGATATATTTTCTTCTACACTTTCTTATTTTTATTTAATTAATGTAAATTAGTTTTTTTTCACTTGTTCTTCATGTCTAGCTAAATTCTCTAGTTTTGGATTGATGGTGCAGATGGAATGTGTATTACTCATGAATTATCTTCATTAATAATTTAAGGAGGTTTTTAATATATGAGGTATTCATTTATTACATATATTTCTCATATGTATAGTTAATATCAGGGGTAATGTGGAGCCTAAAAATAAAAAATCAACCAGAAATATGTATAGTAAGCATAGGCATAGTGCTTGAAATATACCAAATTTATTGAGATGAATTGTAATGAGGGGGTTTTAATAGTACATACTTTACTTATACTTCTAAGATCTTTACAGGGTGATAGACTGTGGGAGTTTAGAGTGGAATTAAGGTTGAAAGGTTTAATCTATCATTTGTCTTTTTACGCTCATCTGAGTGGTCGGTGATGCATAATATAAATAACATCAATATAAAAGATAATCATTAGAAAATATATATTTTTTTACATTCCATTAATCTAAAACATTTTATCTAAATATTGTTTGATTATTTTAATTAAGTGGTTGAATCTCCATCAAAACTTATATTTATTGAATAGGATTATTTTTATAATTATAATAGGCAATACTAGTAATATCAAGTAAACATTCTTCCTTGTGGGATCGATACTCTACTCTATGACTATATTACTTGATTTGGCACGTGTGCTTCTGTATATTAAGTAGGGTTTTTTTAATTTTTATATAAAAAAAACCTAAGTATTATTATTTAGGGATTGATAAAGCCCTAAATTATTTTCATAATTTTTTTAGGTTACTCCATTGCTCCCATTAATTTTTTGTCATCATTTCCGGGGAAGAATTTATTTTATTCATTAAATTTATTATATTATTTAATCATTTATATAATTAATTTGACTATATTATTTTTTATTTTATTTTATTGATTGCATAAGAAGGTTTGCATTCTTAAAATCTATAGAAAGGAACCATTGCTACATTTTAATTCAAAAATTGAGAGAACCCTTTATAAAATTAAAACAACCAAAAATCATTCTAGTCCTCTTAAGGATTTTAAAGGCCATATGGAAGATAGAGTTCATCAGAGCATTTAAATACCTTAAATCCAAGCTAATAACTTTGAATTAAAATATGTAATTATTTAGATTGCATAAAATTCTTAGTTTCGGGAAACTCTTATTGAAGATCCTAACCAACATTTAGCAAAATTATGAAAACTTTGTGCATCATTTAAGTATAAAGGTGTTAGTGATGATGCCATTAGACTTAGATTATTCCCATTTTCTCTTAAAGATAAGGAAAAATGTGGTTAAATTTTTTAGGTGCTCTATAACCTCGTGTAATTAGTTAGCCCATAAATTTCTAGGAATGTATTTCACACCTTCTAAGACTACCAAACATAGAAATGATATTACTTCTTTTACTTAGAAGGAGAATCTTTTTACGAGAGTTGGGAGAGATTCATGGAAATACTTAGAAAGTGCCCTCACCATGTCTTACCAGATTAGTTAATAATTTAAACTTTTTACAACAGATTGATGGGCTCCTTTTAGAACCAAAATTGATGTTGTAGCTAGATTTTATTTGATGTCAAAGCCTTTTGAGAATGCTTATAAATTAATTGAGGAAATGGAAATAAATAATTTCTACTAGCTTTATGATAGGGATTGTGGTAGGATTATATGAAAATGATTCTTTATACATTTTTATTGTTCAAGTTGAAGTTTTTACTAAGATTTAAATGATTTAAGTTTAATAGTGATCATAAGAGATATAAAACTACAATGCTAAGATATGTAGCATTATAGTGCTACCCCATAGAATTTAAACAAATATATCATGAAAGGAATAAGAAGTAAACAATAAGTGACATCAATGAGGAAATATATAAGTCTTTCAACAAATATGAGCTCCTATGAGCCGAAGCAGGAGATTCGTTAGTACACAACAAACTACTTATAGAAAGCAACTAATTTTGCATGATAGTTTACTTGTATAAGGCAGCAAACAACTCAATCCAAAAGCTACTACAACACACTACTGTGTCCATAACATCTACACAAGTGGATAGAAGGCATTTACAAATATTTAATTGTACCACGGCACATACACTGTAATTTGTATACATATAGGTACACAAAATAGGTAAATATAATCAAACAGTAGTATGGGCCCGGAGAGCGTGTCTTAGGTATACATGTGACATCTAGGGATGTTACGTGGGTTAATAAATTTGAACCTGATCCTCCTAAGCTGGTATATAGGAGTTGACATATTTTCAAAAATAATTATAAATACTCTGAAAAACTCGCATGGGCCACTATAAATGAGTTATAAGTACACATGTGACGTCTAGAGTTGCTGAGTGAGATAATAAGTGAATGTAAGTTTAAACATGATCCTTCTATGCAGATTAATAGGAGTCAACATGATTTAAACTATCAAACAAATATATGGTTGCAACGACTAGTATATTTATTTTAATACTTTCATATAAGGCCTTCAAGGCCTATAATAATAAAAATTAACTAATAAAGGCACAAAGCCTATGATGAACTCAATCCTCTATCAATTGTTCGATAGAGTTGATAAGATTTAGTCAGTTAATGACCCAATATACCCTGATGATGATCGTGTTGAATGCAGATTTCAACCGGAGGGATTAATTTCAATTATCTCAATATACCACCAAAATACAAACTAAATTCAAAGCTCACAAATCCAAAATCTAAAGAAATCTAGATATTTAAAATTGAAATCTAACTATAAAACACTTAAAGCAAAATCCATCCACCCTCCACAACAGTTTGTCGGGGTAGACAAACTGAAAGTTACTTTAGCTCACTTAGAGTTAATGCCATGTCAAAAATATCACTAGGATCCATTTTCAAATAATCTCTTGCTAAAAAAGAAATGGTACGTGTCCTCCAACTGGTAGTTTTACTTGGGGCCTTTTGAACTGAGTGGTTTTATTGCCAAATGGCACCATGAAATACCAGTTATGGCCAGAGTTAGTATGTTCCTTAGTGGAATCAAATCCTTCAGATATGAATTAATATGATATAATCAAAAAGGCACAAAGACTTCTATTAGCTAAGGTGGATTCAAATTTATCTCTTTAGACAAATACTCATCCTAGGTCTCCTTAGATGAAATAACCCATGGCTATTGACAAGGATCCTTCTGCCAGGTTGGGTCGACTACCTCCTCTTACTAAGTAGATCGGGATGATAGAACCATGGGATCTTTATCAGGTCTATTATCCATTCCCCTACCATTTGCTTCAAGTGTAAGATGGTGAAATTTTTAATTTTAAATATCAAACCTTCAAGCCATACACATTTTTAATGCCCATGCTGCTACTATACGCCTGATATTACGTATCTATGGATGCAGTGTATATGATTGATGACTAGCCTTAATTGAAATTTTTCTCTCATTATTGGGAGGGGCAGTTAACTATAGGGGCATTGCGCCTATAGGAAATCAGAACTCAGATGATAATGTCCTCAGAAAATGAGGGAAAATCTCTAGGTAGTTTCTTATCTATAAACCCATCTTCCTTCAAATATTTACCCTGAAATGTAACCCGTTAAATTTTTTCTGAAAAAAAGCAAGGCCAGTGCAAAATTTTTAGAGCCCACATATTTCTAACGACTTCGCTGGGAATTGGTTTCTCTTTCCATCTTTGGCTAGTCATCTCAGTACTATTGTAGCAGCTAAATCCATATGGATTAAAATTTCAAGATTTTCCAAAAAGATATTTTAATGGATCAAAGCTTTGAATTTTCTAAAAAGATCATTCAACAAATTCATATGGAATTTCATAGAATTTTTATATTTATGTTAATTGCTTACTTATACTAATAATGTTCGTTTATTTTTCTTTCTATGTTCTGTGCAAGTCTCTGCATTTTGAAAATGTTTGATTATATATCATATGATGAATAGTAACTCTTACCTTTCATTTGTGTATATTAATCTACATAATATTGTATTTACAGTTCAAGTGGGACATGTCGCTAGCATCCAACTAGCAAACTCTATGATCACTTCTGGTAACATTGGGGATACCAACTAGTCCAATAGTTTTGACTTCTATATAGTCATTGCAAGGACTGTCACCATTCTTGTGAATGGATTTAACTCTGAAGGGTTTACTAGGAGGCCCCATCCTACTGAAGTTTTTACACGTCATGCATATCTGCCAATACAACAACCTATTACCAAACATGCTACATGTCGTGCACATCTTCCAGTGCCATGACCACTACTTAAGAGCCTCAAAGGAGTATATTTGTATTTGAATGATTATCACAACCAGAAACCCTTGCCACCAACAGAGTTTTGACTAGTAAGAGGATTTCTATGGTGGCTATATACACTAGAACTCTGTCAATAAGGTTACCTGCACCCGAGAAGAATGATGTTGAGCCCTCCTCAATTGGAGGAAGGCTTATAAGAAGGCATAAAAGAAAGAAAAATGCTAAACTTTGAGCTTAGCAATAATTTTCAACCCATCCATCAAACCTTCTTTCTGAAGAGCCTGAGGCAACCATTCACACCCAGAATGGATTTACGGGTTTAAAATGGGTCAAAAGGAAAAGCTTGACTGGTGAGCTAAATAAATTATTTTTGGACCACTAGCCTGATGTCCCAGATCCTAAGAAGAAGAAGAAAATTGAAAATCTCTCAGCCCAGGCCTACAAGGTCCTGAAGATTATGAATGAGAGAGGACTAAAGAAGAGAAGATACCAGCAACCACTGATGGTCGAGATCATCAGAACTCTACCATTAGAATGCCTATCTGTTATGGTAGATAGAAAAGAAATAAAATATATCCCACCAGGTGTGCATCAGCATGTGACACCCAAACCACGTGTTCTGGGAATAACCCCCAAAAGGTCAAAATTTAAGGGAAAGCAAGTATGGAGGATAAGGCCTCATAAAGAAGAAAAGGAAGAAAGAGTAGAAAGAAGTATTCATTCGGGTGTGACATCTTGTATGGCTTATTGGAGATCCACCCCCGCCTATAAATGATGTCTGAAATGGGCCCCAAAGAGGACCCAGAATGACACCCCTCTTGACAGTCAACACCTTATAGAATTCTTCAGGGGATTCTGTCACTCACCAAACCCTCCAAAAGAAGAAACTAACTTTGACCATAGCCCACTTGTCAAAGAAATATCCTTTCCTAATCAAGAACTAGAGATCCAATTGAATCACCACTCAAAGATCCAAATACTATAAGTGAAAGGGGGGAAAAAGACATGAAAGAAGATGAGGAATATATCGAACATGAATAATATATAAAAGACAACATATAAGAAAATATTGAAGAATATATGGATGAAAACTTGGAACAAGAAATGGAATAAATAAATAACACCTTGGACATGGAAGGGGTCTATATGGTGAGGCACACCAATGATAATGAGGATGCATACTATAATGAAGGTGAAGGCGATGACCATTGGAAACTGCCATCGAGGCAAGCTCACCAACATCACCATGAATCTGGGCCCACCACTGGAGGAGGTGGCCATTTCCAAGGGGAAAATGAGGTGGAAGTAGTCAAGCAGAATCTGCCTGTCTCTGAAGATGTCATGCTTGACGATATGCAATGGCAAATAAAGCAGCAAATAAGAGCCAAAGATAAGGAAATCTCTCAGTTGAATGAGAAAAGGATTGAGATGATGGCTCAAATGGCGATAATGATGTAGATGAATATTGCAGTGGGTCACATGCCCAATCCTCTTCTAGATCCTCCAAACTTCCAAACACCACAAGTATTATAGATAAGGGAAGCTCCTGAAGGTGTTCGTGAAGCCCAAAACATTGTCTGCTAGCCCACCCCAAAAAATATTACAAGTACATTTGAACCTATGACTACTGCACATTTGGAAGGAATCATCCTCAAGAAGATTAAGGCTATCATAGTTATTGACCAATAAAAAAAATTGGTGGGCAAGGTTTTCCCATACCCTGCTGTATATGACAAAGTGCCATATCTGAAAGGGTATTTGGTCCCAAAGTTTCACACTTTTAATGGTACTAAGAACCCCTGACTGCACTTGGAATAATTTAAGGCCACCTATAAGAATATAGGGGGAAATGAAGCTACTCTTTTGGCAGTTTGTTAACATTTTGACATCAATAGCTTTGAATGCTATCCCGAGCTGTCAAATGACTTTATAAAAACTTTTGTAGAATTATAGGACATATTTGTGAAGAGATTTACCAGTGTGACCGAGAAGATTATAATCACCGACCTTACTTTGGATAAGTATAAGGGAGAGGTTTCAGTATCGAAATACATAACTTGCTAGCATAATCTAAGTATAAAATGTGAGCAGCATATCAAAGAGGAGAACACTATGTAAGTATTAATGTGAAACATAGATGATAAGATGCAACTCTTTCTTTTTTTTTTTTTTTTGAAGAAAAGCCACAGCTAGCTTATATTATAAAGAAAAGCAAAGATACAACTAAATGTTT